GACCTTCCGCCCCCTCCGACTTCCCTCGACTCTCTCCTCCCCACACACACCCCTCGTGATTTCCGCGCAATCCCCCGCCACGCGCTACCCACCTCCCCCTTCCCCCCTGCGCAACTTTTACCCACGTTCTCCCCCCTCACCATCATCATCATCATCATCATCATCATCATCATCATCATCATCATCATCATCATCATCGTCAATCTAGCCTTGCAAACCCACTTTTAACCCCACCTACCACGCTACCACCCAATCAATCGTAGATAGGATCGTTTCGCCCTCAATTTACTTCAAAACTCATTTATTCCTTTATTTATTATTATTTTGAAATTCTTGTGAATTCGAAATACTTAATTAATTATCGACATTTCTTTTTCCAAAATATTTTCTTTTTCGAAATTTTCGAAAATAAGTAGAATTAATTATTCTTTCTAAACTTTTCTACATTGAAATTCAAAATAAGTTTAATTAATTGTTCTTTGAAATTTTTGTAATCCGAAAATATTTTAGAATTAATTAAACTCTTTCTTTTTTCGTAATCTGAAAATATGTTAGAATTAACTAATTCTTCTCCGACATTTCTTTGAAACTCGAAAATAATTAATTCTTTTTTAATTTTTTGTTATAACTTTTTCTTAATTCCTTTTTCGATTTTTTTTTTTTTCGTAATTCGGAAATACTTTAGGATTAATCATTCTTTCTTGACATTTCTTTTTCGAAAACATTTCTAATTAATTCTTTTTCAAAATTTTGAAATTATTGCGAGGCATAAGGCCCCGATGAGCCCCTTCCAACCCTGCAAGCAGCACAGTCGGCCGCCCTAAGTGAAGGCAGGCCCGACCAAGGCCACAAGGCCTATTTTCTGGTTACCACGCAACCGGGGAAAATTCAGGCAGTTGCACAACGCCAGTTGGTTGAGAGCACCCAGGCCCTAGCTGCCTTTCTCGTATGCAACTGAGGCAGTCCCTGGGCCAGATACACAACATGGGACGAACCCGGGCTGCGGCAGTTGGGCACAGACAACCGTCACAGGCCCTGGCCCTGATTCGTTAGGACCGGGGCTCAGCCTCTTGGGTCCTACCGGAAGCTTGTGGGCAGAGGCCCAACACAACCTGACCGCACGCAGCTAGCAGGGCACTTCCATTTAGGAAAGGCCCTGCCCCCGCATTCATTATTCGGGCACTGGCTGCATGCTGCGCAAGCGCTGCTGCACTAAATGTTGGCCAGGCTCACGTGCTCACGGGCGAGCAGGGAGAGGCAGGCAGCCATAGCCGAGCTGTGCTGCATAGCTGGGGGGGGCGGATGGTGGTCCTTGGGTGCACGACGACACGTGGCATCTGTGAGTGGGGGATCGAGGTTGTGAGTGATACGAGAGACATACGTGGTGCTTGAGGCGAACAACATTGGCCGAGATCTGCGCGTACTTCAGGGAGCTGTTGACATCACCAACGGCATTGTAGATAGGCTAGATAGGATCTGCCATTTGTAGTTTGGGTGCAGAGTGCCAGATAGAATGTCAACATTGGTTCTTTGTTTATGATGATGAGACTATTTGAACATTGTCACTTATGAGCTTTTGTTGTGCTCTTATTTGGTGGGACTCGTGTTGCAATTTTGTTTTTGGTTCGAGGTCACGACTATCAGGTCTCATGTGTATGATGTTGCTTGGTTTCTGAAGTTCGCTATTGCTCATTTTCCTTGCAATTTGGTATCAGAGTTGTGGTACGGTGCGCTAATCTGGCACTTGTCTTCTGCCTATGCGGTACATGCATGTGGTGAGGTGGAACGACAGTGTAATGCTGGTTGTGCTGAAGTAGCGATTGGTCATCATAGTCGACATCGGGTCATCTGGTGAGAATATCTGTGGTTGGGGGAAGCTATTTTGAGGTACGTTGCACCTAACCTTATCTACCCTCTTCGACACTTCTTACCGCGAGGATGTGTGTTCTGTGTTGAGAGTCCTCTCATGTGAGGAGTTGAGTGCGCTCAACCTTGAGAGTCGGCATTGTTCACGTGGAGCATCTGGAAGGAGAGGGCGGAGCTATCTGAAGGGCTCTCGAGGAAGCATTGGGTTATAGTCACCATGCCAACCCACCGGGAGTAGAGCACGCATGCTTTGCTGCTTTGTCCTTTGTTTGCTTGCTGCGATGATAGATGGGTTATGAGGGACAGGGCAGCCCTACGGGGGAGACGAGTACCGGGCATCTATAAATAAACATCGGCATGGTTACCTTTCATTGGTTGTGATCGTCGTCCTGTCTGCGACGTTAAATAATTCTTGAGGCCTTCGAGGGCCGTCCTTAAACGCCTCCTGATCAGCCAATCGGTGGGTGTGAGGTTCGCTGCACGCGAGGATAAACATTGTGCAGGGCTGGCCAGCTCAGCATACACTCGGGGCACAGGGGCGGGCCGTGTGCACACCTTTAGACACACACGTTGTTCTGGATTGCTCAGGGACGCTGACGTCAAGTGACCATCAAGAGGAACTGAGGGAGGGGTAGATTTCAGGTGATAGGTTTGTGTTTCAATTCCACTCTGCAAACATCAACACATACGATCCTATTTTTATTCCTGATTAGTTAGATGGAATGCCATTGACATCTGACATACAACATTAGGTAGATCTGCTCTCTGTTCGTGGACTAATTAAGTAAAAATAGTTTCATTTGTAGGAATCTGAACTTACCTGTTGACCCGAATGTGTAGACTCTGACATAGCCACAAATTATTTATTTAATTATTTTTAAATTGGTTCGGGCACCACGCTGCGGTAGGCATTTAGTCTGACCTACTGCAGATTGTGTCCAGTTCTGTAGCTTATGAGCGACAGGGAGGAAACTAGAGAGGACGACAGGATCCTGCGATCAGCGTGGGGCCCGATAGCCCACGTGGCATTAGGAGGCGTCATGGCAAGCCAACCGTTAGTTTTGACTCCCGAAGAGATCGCCATACGACAAGCAGATGCTCAGGAGGCACAACTACAGAAGGCTTTAGGGGAGATAAAGGCAAAGAAAGAGAGAATGATTAGGAGAAGAGCAAGGATGCAGCGGAGACAAGCGGACATTAGTGAGTTAGAGGAGATGGACCTGACGAACGTGGATGATAATGTGAGGACTCTGAGGACGGTCTTGCTAGATGTGGTAGAAATGCAGGATCACCAAATGGCGCTCTTACAGGACATCCTGCAGAACCTGGCCGTGGTGGTCGGGCGAGCGCAGGCGAGACCATCACCATCAGGGCCCGGTGCCTGGCTTGTGGTACAACCTCCTCCATCTGTCCCACGGGTGACTGGGGTATCCCCATACATAGCTCCAACATCGGTACAGGCCGCTTCCCTAGGAATGTCTTTGATAGGAGGGTTCTCAGCAGGTCCTAGTGTATAGATTCCTGAACAGACAGTGTATTCCCAAACTCCGTCGCAGGTTGTCATAACTGGGCAGCCTGCTGTCTCGCAGTCGGCACAGCCGCAGGGCACACAACCCCAACAGCAGCTAGTGCAGCAGCCTGCACCCTAGGGTCCACAACCCGGAGTACGACAGGTACCGGGACAAGGCCAGTGGGTTCCAAAGACGACCATCACCTCACCCAAACCCTTTTCAAGGGACAAGAGGGGCGAAGACCTCGACACATGGTTGAGGTCAGTGCCAGTCTACGTTAAGTGCAAGTTGACCTTGCCACATGAGGAAGTGTTTGTGGCTGTCTCTTATCTTGAGGGGAGCGCATCATGATGGTTAAGCGGGCTAGTGCAACTGCAGGGATATGGACACGACTTTCGCGCTTGGGCAGTCAACCAGAAACTGGTGGACTTTCTCAAGATGGTGGAGGATAGATGGCATGATCCTCAGGAGGCCCAAAAGGCCACTGATGCGATCCTAACTTTGAGCAACAGACCGTTCAAGTCAGTAAGGGATGCCACATATGTTGTAGAGCGTCTGATCTGTGTTCCTGAAGTACGCTATGACCCCCAAGTCTTACTGACAACTTACCTGAGGTGTCTTCCCATGCCTCTCAGGAATCAGTTGGCAGGAGAGGCTAACATCAATATGCACAACTTTCCTTCATTTAGCAAGAAGGCCCTAGACCTGGATGCAAAGATAGGGCACGGGCACTAACCCACTACGGATGGAAGGAAGAAAAAACTGCCTCCCAATTGGATAGTGAAGGGTCACATTATGTTTGTTGACAATGATGGTTCTACCATCGAGTTTGACGACGACTTCCATGAGGGAGTAGGTGCAGAGGCGGGCAGCGTGGAGGCTTCATGGGGTTGGAGCAGTCGTTGCCTCAGTCTAGAAAGGCAAGGCGACCGGTAGACGTCGTGGAGGCTCCCGGTCTAGGAGTCAAGTTGACCCCAATGCTCCTCCATGGGAGAAAACGGGTCTCACTGAGGATGTGTGGAGAGATCGGTACACCCGGAAGGCTTGCATCCGTTGTGGGCAATATGACCATAATCAGTTCAAGTGTCGTAACAAAAAGGTGTCCGAAAAGATCCCGCCTACAATGGGGCAGGTGATGGGATTCTCCGCTTCCATGGGTAGCAATGTTGCCAGTAGTTCTGGAACTGCTCCGGGAAACACGTCGGGCCAGTAGGATTGGTAGTTGTTCCTGCTAGGGTCGAGGTGGTGGACACACCCTCACCATCTCGAGAGATGGCCCAAGCTACTGATTCCAGTATCGTCCCGCAAACACATTCGGACCCAACGATCATCTGTTCGTTAAATGTGTTCGAGTCCTTAGAGGAGCTAGAGGAGGAGTGGTCTAGATCAGACCCGCAACCTTCTTGGTCGGCTATGGCTAAAGCCCCTAAGGGTGAGTCATTCGTCGGTGAGATAGTCATCGGTGGCCGCAAGGCCGGGGCCTATTATGACACTTGCTTGACGCGAAACTTTATCAGTCGTGTGTGCGTTGATAGGCTGCAGTTACAAGGGCAAGTGCAGCGCCTGAGTCGACCTGTGTGGAGTCAATGACTACCTTAAGGACGTTGAGTGTTGTTTCCTATACGTGGGAGGGGAACTGAGACATCGCGTCTCGTTCCTAGTCAGCGATGATCTCGCAATGGACATCATGTTGGGTATGTACTACATTTCGGTTGCACAGCCCCAGTTTGACTGGGACCGAAAAGTTGTCAAACACACTTTGCCCGGTGGGGGAACCGCCAGATTACGTAAGTTTAAGCCAAGTAGTCTGATCGAGTCTTATGGGTGCATGTGTGCGACCGCGTTCTACAATTATTATAAACAAAATCCGGAGGAGGGTATGTATCTAGTTTATGTTTCTGCAGAAGGCGAGACGGTGAAAATGCCGCCGAAGATAAAGGGAGTAGTTGCTAAGTACCCTGATCTATTCCAAGAGTCGAACGGGGTTGTTGAGAGGGAGGTCCTCCACGCGATAGAGATTATCCCAGGGTCTAGCATTCCAAAGGGTAGGATCTATCGGATGTCTCCAGGCGAGCTTGATGAGCTTCGCCGATAGCTCAAGGATCTCATAGAGAAGGGTTGGATCCGGCTGAGTGTCTCCCCTTATGGATCTCCAGTCCTATTTGTACAAAAGAAGGGGGGAACTTTGAGGATGTGCATTGACTATAGGGGCCTTAATGCCATCACTGTCAAGAACAGAGAGCCGCTACCGCGCATCGATGACTCGTTGGACCGAGTGCAAAGGTGTCGGTACTTCAGTAAGATAGATTTGAAGTCAGGGTACCATTAGATTGCAATACGGCCTGAGGATCAACACAAAATGCTTTTCAGACCCGATACGGTCTGTACGAGTTTGTGGTGATGCCTTTCGGCCTTTGCAATGCTCCTGGCACCTTTCAACACGCAATGAACTGGATCTTTCATGACTACTCTGGATAAGTTTGTAATCGTGTACCTTGATGATATACTTATCTTCAGTAGGACTGTCGAGGAGCACGTTGGTCATTTAGACAAAGTCCTTAGTCTCCTTTGAAAGCACAAGTTCAATGGCGAGAAGTGCGAGTTTTACCGCACCCGTAACTTGTACTTCGGTCGTGAGATTTCCACAGAGGGATTGAAGCCCGATTACGCAAAGGTGACCAACATTCGTGATTGGTCGCGTCCTCAGTCTGTGACTGAGATGAGGTCCTTCTTAGGGATGACCGACTACTATCGCAATTTTGTGAGGAACTATAGCATAGTTGCCGGCCCTTTGACGAACCTGACTCGCCTTGACACCCCATGGGAGTGGACAGACAGGTGTGAGGCAGCCTTCAGACATTTGAAGCATGCTTTGACACACCATGAGGTATTGAAACTTCCTGATCCTCACAAGCCATTTATAGTAACCACAAACGCTTGTCAATATGGCATAGGCGTCGTGCTCGCGCAGCAGGAGGGGCCAAAGTTGAGGCCTGTGGAGTACATATCCAAAAAGATGCCCTCTCAGAAGTTGGCTAAGTCCACCTATGAGAAGGAGCTTTATGCGATTTACAAAGCGCTAACCCAATAGAGACACTACCTCCTTGGGAGGTTCTTCTACGCCAGGACCGATCACCAGACCCTGAAGTGGATGAGAACGCAGCCTGTGCTTTCTTATGTGCTCAAATGCTGGATCGAAATCATTGAGCAGTATGACTTCGAGGCCCAGTACATCAAATGAGAGTACAATAAAGTTAATGATGCATTGTCGCGTAGGCCGGACTTTCTCGGTGCGCTGATTACCGAGTTTGGGTTTGCGGACGATATTACTCGCTCTTTGGTGGAAGCCTGTCACGAGGATCCGATTATGGATGATATCATACGCAGACTCGAGGCGAAGGACAAAGCGACTTCAACCGAGTTTGAGTTGGTCAACGGCCTGCTGTTCCTTGAGAAGGTCGGGAATAAATGTTTGTGTGTTCCTAATCGGGAGTCTTTGCGTAGTTTAGTTTTAAGAGAGTGTCATGATGCCACCGGACATTTTGGATATAAGAAGACTGCAACCAATCTGCTGCATCATATCTGGTGGCCCAC